CCTTTACCTTCTTCCAATATTACAGGGCACTTCTAGTTCTTGCCTAGGGTGGAGAAGCCTTCCCTAAGCACAAACTACCCAGAATCATGCTTCGTCTGTCCATGGTGAGAGAGGAAAGGTAGTCTTGCTGGAAAGATCCGTGTGTCTTCTGAGGCTAGCTTGGAGAAAACAGTCAGGAAAGGCAAAGGGAAGGGAGGCAAGAAGGTCAGAAAGGAGGAAGAAAGATACTGCAGTTCCCTAAAGAGCTAAGAAGGAATCCAAGTGGCTTGGTCACTGTCAGGAGATTTCGCTTCACCTACGCTACTATGGCTCCCATGACTTGGTGTAAATGTAGGTTAATCAAGGTCCTAATTTTGTAAAGTATGAAGGTTTTATTAAAATGAATACTGCATTTAGTTTATTAGGTAAATTGATAGCTGCATACATAGTAAAACATTCCATCATACTAAAAGACGATTTTATCAACATTTATGTAGTACTTCATTATTTTAATGTACCTGAACTATGTTTTTGGAACTGCCGCAGGAAAGCTGGTTTTAATAAAATATATGATTGTGTGATGTTGGAATGTTATTCACAAGATACATTCAATTTAGTCTGCTATGCACACTTAGGTGGAAATCTATGCCAGAAAAGTTCATGGCTAAAAAAATAAAGCATACATTTATTGTCAGGATGCAGAGATTCTTCAGTAACGAGCTGAAAAGGTAAGACTAAGTTTCAATTTCTTTAACTGCTAATATAGAGTTAACCATTGGTATTTAAAAAGACTAGTAGAGTAAAAGAGAAAAATGGTGCTAGAACATTTAAAAATACAAGCCAACTCAGGGAAAACCGAGATTCTGTCTGACTGGTTCAGAAAGCACTCAACAATACAGGCATGGTGAGTACTTTATATTATTTGTAAACCAAGCTGAGAATTTAAAATCGATCCAGGAAAGAAATGCAGAAATGCAGTTATTAAAAGGAGAACTAATCCTATCAAAAGATACAAAAGAATCAGGACTTGTTTTAAACACTGGCACAACTGTACTTGTGGATATAAATGTGGATTTTGAAATGTTAGTCATCTCAAGGCACTTCTTAAAACATAAATATTTAGACTTCTTAAAAGAATAGTCATGAATGATAACTTTTGTCTAATAATTTTGATAAAGACAAATGGATTCTTGGTATTATTTGCAATATGAAACTATCTTAAATAGTAAATATCATTACATGATCCTCTAGAGGATTAAAACAGAGAAATATTTCTCTTCAAATGGATCAAGAATTAAAAATAAAGTCCCTTCTTTAACATACCTTGATGGAAAATAATCAAATATTCAACACTTCCCCATTCAAATGCAAATTGTCAGACATTTCTTGAAAATTAAAATGACAACTTTCATTAATGCTGATGGACTTACAAATCAAAACAATTTTAAACTAGATGATTTCTACGTACAGCTTTCATTTTCAACTGCTTGTTTTTGCGGTAAGTGCTCATTGTAACTTGTCTTAATTTTCAAAAGTGTTTAGATTCAACTTGAGCAGAAAAATCATTAGCAGTAGTTAATCTCTGTTTCAATGTCTATTTTAAACTCAACTATGTTTTGGTGAACTGTGAACTCATTCATGAAAAGAGATGATGGCCCTTGTAACAAAACAAATTTAAACCATAAATTTAATTACACTAAATTACCAAAATAAAATGAGCTTTCAACAACAGCAACTTGCCTACTCACCAAGAGGCATGACACACTGGCTGGGAAATTCAGTTCTATTTCTAGGAGGCAGACCCAGCCCCTTAACCATGTGAATACAATGCTGACAAAACATGCCTGTTATTTCTTGACAAATTTAATATACTTCTCCACATTTGCCTAAAATGTACAAGGTGGCCAAGAGGATTGGGCAGGACATGGATACATTGTCTGGTGTCTTTCATTTACAAATTTTTAAATAACCGTATATGATAGCAAAGTTTTAAGACACAGTTTTATATTAAATATATATGTATTTTGAAATACAAGAAACTATTTCACACCAAATAAGGAAATGAAATTTTTAAGTCAATTATAATTTTCTATGAGGATACAACCAGATGTACAAGAATTCTTGCTTTGAAAGGAAACTACAAATCTTTAAGTGCTAAAACACAATTTAAGGTACCATGTCACAGAAATCACTGTAACTTTTTAAAGAAAGTCATGCTTCCCTTCAGAGAATCTGTTTTACTCACTAAACAGTCTGTCCATTCTATAATACTTCACTGGTAACTATATAAATGGAAATGTCTTCTCTAGCCTCACCAGAGAATCATGAGGATGAAAAAGCACGAGATTATTCAAAAGAAATAACACTTTGTCCAAAGGGACACGAGGTCGAAATGGGAAGGACAACAGCACGTAATATCAGTGTCCATTTCTGACGTTAACTCAACAAATGCAAATCTTTTTTTTTGGTCAATAAATTGGAATGGTATTATATAAAGGGCAATAGTTCAATCTAGCAGTTTTTGTGACTAGGAATTGCCATATACAACATAAACCAGCAAGAATATGACTCTCCTTCAAAGAAATTGCTAACAGCAGCAATGCTTGGGGGCAAAGAGTTCATTTAAATTATTTATGGAGTGCCTGCTTAGTTCCAGGCACTGGGCTTGCAGGAGGGAAGAAGCCAGACATGGCCCTCAAGTTACGAAGCCTGCCTTCTAGTGGGGGAAGAAGGGCACTAAACAAATACCCAAGACACCTCCTGACAGTTCAAGGGCAACAAGAAAAGTAAGAGCAATTATTGTCATGGAGGAAGACTCTCCAGAGGAGCTGCCTGTAGATGGGGTTTCAGGGAGACGCCTTCTGAGGAGGTGCTATTTCAAAACTGAGGTTACCGGAGAATCCACATCCCCCTTTAAATAACTGCTATCTCGTGATTAAAGACTACACTTTTTTAACATAACCTTTCACTTGAGCACATTTCCTTTCAAACATTCCAGCAGAGTTAATTTTTCCCATCCAACTGGCCGATCAGTCAGTTCTAAGTGGGATGGATAGGAGTGGTCTTCCGACATCACCAAAAGAAAACATCAAAACGCTAACCAGGCGTTACACAGAAAGGGAGAAAAAAAGGGGGAGGTTGGTGTTAATGAGCCTCTGAATTCCAAGGGGACTACTTCTGACTGGAAAAATATTAAGGATTGTGTGAGAGAAACTAAGGCACTTTATCATTACCCAGAGAGACACAATGTGGATGATCTTTTTTCTGGCTGGCTTACATCCAGACAGATTTCAAAAAGAATGATGACAATCCATCGTAAAGCTAATACCAAAAGAACAGAGGGAAAGTAAGCCGGGGATCCAACGTTAGTATTACATGTTAGTAATGTTCGTCTCAGTATCATTGACCGATTAACACAGGAAAATGAAATAATCCAAGTATCCCACTATAACACTGCTCTCACTTTTATAAAGAGAGCAATGAATCAAATACACCATACACTTGGGGGACAGAACTAACTTGCAGAATAACCAAATCTATGCAGTGAGGTTTCACGGGTTTTAAAAGTATCCCACATCACAAATCTGAGTGACTGCTATCACTATGAACAATAATTCCCAAAACTCAAATGTACATAATTAAGAAATCAAGTCAACATAAAACATAAAATTTTTTAAATTAACTTTATGAGCAAAATGCACTTTTTTACTTAAAACAACTTAGGAAGAATTGGAAGACTTGCCACGCCACGTGGGAGAGACATTTAATTATAACAAAGCCTTTAATTATTATGAATTATGATATATGTACATTGAAAATAAATTATTAGGAAGAAAATATAAATCAATATAACTCTTATTTTGCCCTTGTTTTCCTATGTTTAGATACATGTATATGGTTTTCGTCTTTTCACAAAATCAGGCAAGTAGAACACCTGTGGGCTTGCATAGAGTTTTCCATTTAACGTTATAGCCATACAAATGTTGTAATGTTGTCAACTGTTCTTTTAATCATTTTAAATAACCCACAACATTCATCATAATTTACTCAACTATATTCCTGTTGTCATTAATATTGTTTTCAGTATTTTCCTATCAAATGAACGGCACTGAGAAGAACACCCTCATGCATTTTTGTGTGTAACTAACTCCATGTGAGGATTCCTAGAATTCCTGAGTTAGAGGAAGAGTCTTGATACACATTCCCAAGCTGAGTTCCTGGAAAGATTAATCAATTTCAACATTCACCCTGGACCATCTCAACACTAAATATAATTCACTTTTAAGTAGTGCCACGTTTACGGGTAACAAATGATATTGTTATCTCATTTTTGAAACTGCATTTTTAGTTACAATAAGTGGCATATAGTTTCATGTTTACTGGTCATCAATGGTTCTAAAAATAATCTGTCTCTGATCTTTCAAATAAAGGAGTTATTAATTTCCTTATCGATATTTAAGAATGTTTAACATAGTACATATATTAATCTTTTACGAAGTGTTCCAACACTTTCCCCAGTTGTCATTCTCCTTTTAATTGTGCTTGTTTTTGTCAAATATTTTTCATCTTATGTAAATATATTCATCTGTGACCAATATGATTGATTCTGTTGCTTTTAAAATTTTTGCTCAAAAGTTTCTAATTCACCTCAATATCAGTTATTTTCCACATTTTTCTTTTAGAGTCTGTATTTTTCTTTTCTTTTCAAGTTCGCTGAGAGTTTATTAGTAGAATGGAAAGCAAAGGGTAGATTTGAGAGAGATTTAAAACCCGACTGCTAGATGGGCTGGAGGTGGAAGGGAGAAGATGAGAATGGGGAGAAGGCGGTAAGAGAGAGGGAGAAGTAAGAGGTTGCCAGGGAGGGTTTAAGTTGAGAAAATGGCATTCCGTGCTGGGCAAATAGTATCAAGAGCTTGAGTCCATTTCTAACTACCGTATTCCTCTTCTCCCCTTCAAAGTCATGTTTCTTGAAACAGTTGTCTATATTCCTTGTTTCAAATCCTCAGCATTCATTTACTCACCTGCTGAAATACAATGTGGCTTCCATCCTCTGATTTCCTCAACATCACCAGTGTCTTCCAATTGCTATATTCAAGGAAGAACCATCAGTCTTTAGCTTACTTAAACTCTAGAAGCATCCAATATTGTTGGCCATATACACCATGGTAAAACTCTCTCTATAATGGCTCTCTCCTGCTCTCTTCCTTCTCGCTGGCCACTCCATCTCACCCTCCTTTACAGCTCTTCCTCCCTTTCTCTTAAATATTATTTGCCTAGGGCCTGCTTCTTCAGAAACTTCCCTTAAGACTATCCTTTTCCAGTGTGATCAATACCCATACCCATGACCTCAGCCATCACTGAATGATGATGATAAGATGATGATGATTCCTGTATCTTTTCCCATACCTTAGATTCTCTCTGGAGCCACAGAGACACATTTGCATCCCTATCTCAAATTCCATAAATCTAAAATGAATTCATCATCTTACTCAAAAGATGTGCTTAACCCTATTTTCCAATGATATTCTCCAGCTAAGTGCACTTCCACTGTATTTCCATTCAAAAATCTAGAAACCAAGGTAAGCCTTATTCCTAGCTCCTGCCTGCCTGCCTTCTGCCTCCCTCTCTGTCATCCACTTCAGTCCCTGCCCTACTCCTATCTAATCAATCAGCAAGTCTTTCTTTCAGATTCCCCTTCCTACTCCCTCTAAAATTCACTTTTCCCCTAACCCCGCTCCCTTGTCCTTTGTTTAGAAGACCCTCAAATTCATCTAAGTTACTCACTTTGTCAATTAATCTCTAATTTTCTGCCTCACCCCTCCCAAAGCATCCTCAACACAAGTACCAAAGAGGTTTCTTCTACACTGTAGATCTTTCTATGTTAATCTCTAGCTTAAAATCATTTAATTATACCCCTTTGCCTTAAATAATGATAATAACTGTGACCATTGTTTTTGAGTTTCTACTACTTCATATTTGCCAGGAACTTCTTAAGGTGTATTTTAAATAAATTATATGAGAGAACTAAAATTTATATCCATATGAGCTGGCTCTACTCTGTCATATCTATTTCCTCCACATAAAAAATAAATTCCTCAGTATGACATATAAGATTCTTTAAGATCTAATTCCTACCTACTTGTTGATCTTTACCTTGTGCTATAAAGTCTCACATGCTACTCTTCAACCATACCAAAACCACATTAACCCCCAGAATATCAAATATTTTTCCTGCCTCCTTATTCGTATTGTTCCTTCTGCCTGGAATCCCCAACCACCTTCACTCCCAGGGTCATACGCATCCTCCAAGAGTTAACTCAGCTGTCACATCTGGGTTAGGTGATCAAGTATTTTATAATCTCACAGTCCTCTGAGTATTTCTCTATCTCAGTACGTACCATAGTGGAATTATCTGTTTACACATATTTTTCTACTAAACTCTTAAGTGTCTCTAAAATAAGAACTCCATTTCTTGAATGAAATGCCCAAATTAAGGCTGTGCCCAGCATACTCAATACAAGTTGGTTGCAAGAATTAACTATTACTCAGGAAATGGCCAGTAGGCCAGTGTGATCAGCATACTGGAGTCATGAAAGGATGTGAGAAACAACACTGGGAGCTTTGGTTTGGGCAGATAAGGATCCTGAAGGCTGACATAAAGATCTTATTTCTACAGCCAAAGCAGACCTATTGGAGGTTTCCAAACAGAGAACGGACAAAATGTGATGTGTGTTTTAAGAAAACAATAGACAGTAATATGCTGAGATGTGAGAGGCTGAGGGGCAAAGACAAGTAAGGAGGCAACTGAAAAGATCTAGAAAGAGTTGAGGACAGAGAGTTCATTTTGAGATAATCTGATTTCTAGAAACTAGGAGACATCTGTGTGCCGATGTCTCCTTTTTCTCACTGTTTCATGTTAAAATCTTCCACATAAAAAACATTTTATTATACAAATTTCTTATCACTACCAAAATTAGCATGAAGTTGGAATTTTGAGTCTAATGCTTAACAGGCAGAACAAATCTCGAAGCTTTCAAACTTGAAGTTTCCAAGAAGAGCCATGCAAATAGCCGAGACCACCCAGACAAGAGTGGGGAGAAGAGAGCTGATGGTGGAACATTCACACTAATGAGCAAAAGAGAAAGAGACATTGAAGGAGACAAGGTGTGGGCCGGGCAAGAAGGGGGATCAACATGGGTTTAACTACAGTGATGTAGCAGCCCCACCCATGATGCATTCCTGGAAAGATTCAGTCTTTGGTTCCTATCTAAGGTCATAGAAGCTGTTTACTGAACACTCGACAGGCTTCAGGGCAAAATTCCATTTAAAAAAGGTCATCTTATATCTGAACACTCTATATTAAACTGCTTTTCTGATACTCTGGCTCTATTAAAATAGACTTTAGTATAGAAGCACACTTTTCCTGATTGTTATATCTGTCATTGTTGGCAAATGCTTTGCATCACTGGTAAGAAAAAAAAATTAAGGTTACAAAATTGCAGTAAATTATTTATCAAATTCCTAGTCTGGTAGTTCTCTCTGATGACTCTTACTTTATCAACATGGTAATTTTAAGTAAACATATTTTCCATGATGGTAAAAACACAAGACCATCTAGGACCTTTTTCCTCTGCTTCAGGTTGATGTCTTTAAACAGAGTGCTCTTAAATTTGGCAGAAATAATAAGTTAATAAGAAAAAGATCCTTCTGTACAATCCTTTCTAACACGAAACAATGAGAAAAGCAAAATTCCTTTACTTAAAAATTATGAAAATGTCCTTTTACGCAATGATTCCTGTAAACCCTATAGAAATCTTCTCAAACTACTAGAATATAATTACCTTAAAAAATATATGTCAGCATGCACAATTTCCGAGTTCTTATTCTAGAAAAAGAGACCGCACAGAAAGGATAGAACAATGGTATGGAAACTTACCATCCTCTCCAACTGGACTCCTTATTGCAGACTTATTGCTTCCATGTGTTAAAAAAAAAAAAATCAAACCTTTAAGCCAACCCCAATCCCTAAAATTTTTGGCGCTCTCATTAAGCACTGAATACAGAAAAAAAAAACCCAGTATTTTTATTATAACAAGCCTATCAGAGTCAAGATTTATTTCATTATGAGAATGTGTTAGAAATTAATAATAAAGATTGGTTTCTACAAGGCTTAATGAAATCATGCTATTTAAAGTTGCTAAAATACCACAAATTATCTCATCTTAATATTTAAATAAATAATGCCTGTTTTGAATACTACCCTCTAGAACATATAATATAAATTAATCTGGAGGAATATTAAAATAGATGAGGTTAATACTCTTTTTTTGCACAGCAAAAGATTTTTTATAAGCTGTGGTTACATAAAGCTGAGGACTACGGACAACACATAATTCATATGATTTTCTGAAACTACAAAATCTTTGCTCAAACTCATAATGAGATCAATGAATTACCTAAACTCTGTTGTCTTTGCACTTTTTCCACAAACCAGGTGCACAACACAATGCGTAACTCCCTAAAAGAAGCGCATCTCCCAGTTTCGGTATTTGTCAAACGAAAGAAGGAAACAGTTCCCTCACCCCAAAGTGAGAACAGATGGGAATGTAAAATTAGATGGGAAGAGACAACGAAGCTTTGGATGACCAACCAAGAAATCTTCCCCAGAGGGGAGCCAAATGGACCAGAACTCGGCTTGTGCTGCCTCCCGGTCAACTCCCAAACTAAATCCAATAGGAATGCCAAGCAGTTCTTTGATTCGAGGCGCTGTTTTTGATTTATAAGCATTGATATAAATTTTATAAAGAAGCTATTGATAAATATAAGATTAAAAAGTTTCATGTTTAATCAACATAAAGTAGTCCCATAATCACTTTTGTCAGCTCAACATTACTTCAAACTAAGACTGTGAAAAATGCATATTTTTAAAAATAATATAATAAATGGCTTTACAAAAAAGAGGCAACAGGCATGCACAAACTTAAGATATGGACACTGAACTCCTTGTATCATGGAACAGCTATCAGCCATAAATTGAAAATTATGTAAACAAAATATGTACACATTTTATATTCACTATTTTCATATTTATCTGTATAACTAAAACAATCTCAATAATAATGCCAGCAATACTCCTATACCTAGAAAAAAAGATTCTTCGATATTCAATTTTATATAGCATATAATTTTTCTATCTAAAAATACCAATTGTAAACTTAAAAAATACTCTCTATAGTGCTGTATTCTCCTTAATATTTTTTATTTTTAATATCGGTAATAATTTAAAATTTGAGGAAAACAGCACATGGTGCTGTCAGATTTGACTATATTTTAAAACAGTAGTTCTATTGTTAATAATCATTCTCTTAAAATATTACAATATTAAGATCAATTTTGTAAGATTAACCATGAGCTTTTAAGGAACTCCCAGATATCTTCCACAAAATAGCACTTGTCAAGCAGATCTTTGCGTGTGTGCTCAATTCCAGATAAAATTTATATCCATTAATACAACAACTTAGTATTTTAATCAATAGTGCTCCAATTAGATCATTCTCATCCATAATTTCCAACTTCTCTTCCAAGCCAACAACGAAAAGTTCTCTGTGTACCTTTTCCCTCCGGTCCCAGGAAATTGGCTTTCAACGTCTTAACCCTGTTTTATCTCGTTAAACCTGACAAAGTATACACTACACAAAGAAATAAAGAAATGCCAGTCGTTCCAAGTGGTGAAAGCGGTTGCACCTCACACTTAAGTGATTTCATTTTAAAGAACCCAAGGCACGAGTAAGCCGATACAGGTCTCACTTAGAACAGGGACACAGGCTTCCCTAAAGAAGATGCTCAGTATAGAACACCACATTTAGTTGAATATGTACATGAAACAACGGTACCAAAAAGTAGATTTTATTATCCACATTACTATAAATTATATGCAAACATTATTACCAAAAAAGAAAACAAATCTCTCAAGGTGTCTAACTTTTTTCCCCTCCCTTATAAATACATAAAAGCCACAACCAGCAAATGTTTGGGGATACTATGTTGATCATATTTTACTAAAATTCATTTTCCACACTTCCCAGTTGTGCAAATAAAATTTGAATTAAGCAAAGACAGCTGTGAATATTTTAAAATTCATCCTCATAATAATAAATACAAATTCTAATTCCCCAAAATATCAAATGCAGATCCCTCTACAAATTTTACATTATTGCCTTAATTCATTTTTTAGTTAGTTGGTTGAAAGATTTTAACATGGAAAATAAAGAACATTTTATAATGAATCCAAAACTTCTACCTTCCTCTTGGGGTCGGGGGTGAGGGGTACTTTGAATAAAGAATGCACATGCACGCACTCAACGTTTACTCGAGACTCCTGCCCTAGTCCCAAATCTGCCACTGCCTTTTTAAATCGGGATATACCAGTTATTATCACACAGTTTCAGGATCTGATTTTGATACAGTGTTTATGATCGTGTTAGTGTTAGCTTTTTATAGTGACTGTGTTTAACTCATAATGTGATGTTCCTCAAACTGGAATTCACAGATGTATTCTTGGGGCCTGAGAGAGATTTTTCTGTTAACACAAGTCCACATATCATTCAAGACCAACAGACACTAGATTAGATAATCTTTCTTATTCCTTTCCAGTCTGAAACCTATGTTACCTTCTACTGCAGCTTAATAATAATTTATCGAGACCAAACTTAGAAAGCACACTTAGAGAAAGCAGACTTCCCAAGACGAGTTATCATCTCTAAATCTATGTCCTACTAGTTTTTCTTTTACATTTAAATGCAAACGAAATTTGTGAGATGATAGTAAGATGGCACTCAAGTGGGCAAAACAAGGCTGTCGGATGAAGGTTCCATCAGCAACAGTCACGACCAGTCTCAACGGGTCAGTGGACCACATATTAACCAGGAGTCAGAACTTCCAGTTTCTTTTTCCAGTTTTGCCTCTGACTTGAAAGAGCATCTTGGTGTTAGAGCGATTCATTCTCACAGCCCCCATTTTTCACAAAGTTAGTACATTATGCTACTTACTGAATAAAATGCACAATAAATACCAGGTAGTCATGTTATATGATGATAAGCAGTATGTTTAAAATTTTAATTTATAGATTAAATAGAAAAATAAATCTACAAAACTCAAATATTTGTTTTTCTTAATTTTGATAGTGACAATATATAACACATAAACATAACAGTATAATTTTGTTTTTTACTAGAATTATGGATCATGTTGATCTAGTTTTAGAAACATTTATGTTTAAATTTCCTTTTTCTAATTTTAAAATATAATGTCAATTTGCATTTAAGGATATTTTATTGTTTACTGGTCAAAAGTTTAAAAATAAAAACATCTGTATTCTTCTATCATAATTTTATATCAAGCTTTTAAACCACATAATCTTAAAGGAATTCTCAATTTATATGTATCTTAACAATAGAATAACCTTAATACCAGCAAAGAGAAGTAAAATATATGGAAACTGCAAAGATATTCTGAGTTTAAATGCATATACTTTCCATTTAAAATAGTTATTTAATGTTTAATTAAAAAAATGAGGACACATGAAACATTTAAATCATCTTATTTATATCTGTGATATAAATGTGAATAAAAGTCTTAAGTAAAAATCCTCCATAAAAAGGTTATAGGATTTTTTCCTGATATGCAGCATCTTAACTGAACACTTTTTAAAAAGGTAAGTTTTTAAACCATTGCTAAAGCATTGCCAACGGCATAACCTAATCTGATTAAAATAATTTATTAATTAAAATAAATTACTGATCTTGAAATTATTTACTGAATTTAAATTACTGACTTTTGACAGATTCATTTTTTGTAAGGTGAAGGCTATCAAAATCTAAGATCAATTTTCTAATCAACACATTTCGTAATAAGCTTAAGTTTTATCAAAAGAGAAATATCGCATTCAAATTTAAAAGTTTTTTCCCTGTTATCCTAGCAAACATAACCAATGCTAGTTTATTAAGCTCATTTCAAACTTTCTTCTTCCTATAAAGGAATTTTTAGTTTTTATTATTTCAAGATTTCTTTTCTAGAAGCTGTAATTAGACCATTAACTAGCAGATAGTGAAGCAGTGTCAAAGGGAAAATATGCATTTCCAAAAAGTGCATACTTTTACATACTGTGATAAGTAATTTTTTTCTTGGAATAGACACGTGCAGTTACACAGATGTTAAAACCAGTGCCAAAAAGTTACTCCACCTGAACGGTCGAGCTGATCTCGGAAGCAAAGCCGCCCGTCAAGGGAGCCTCGTGACTGACCAGCAGTCGCCCTGTTTTGATCACAGACTGAAAGAGAAAAGGAAAAAGTGATGTTGAAGAGAATACGTATTTCAAGTATATGATGATAGCTTTAAGTAATAAAAATTATTTAAATTCAGTAAATAACTAAAAGTTAGTAATTCAATTTCATGCCAACTAAATTACAACTCCCTTTCAACTGGACAGTCACTTGTTTCTTGAATTTCAAAAAATTTTTCAATATAATTTATAATTCTAGCACAAAAGAAAAATGAGACATAATTCCATGCATGTCATTAAAAATGCATTCCCAGTACTCTAAAATAGTTTTGTGCTATATACTGAATTACTGTATCTCACATTTTCAAATTTCAACATCATTTTTTTCTTCAACCTTAAGAATGAAAGTGCTTTTTTGTTCATTTTGGAATATATTTGTACATACACAATTAGTCTTACGAAATAGTGCTGTATGGAGAAGGAAAACACAAAAACAGCATGTAAAAGTTGTAGCAAAGGAAAAGCTCAGGCAACGAGATATTCCAGGAAACCTGCAGGAGGAATCATTGCAAAAGTCACAGAGTTACAACCCTCTTCGTTCATGAGCGCTAAAATCTGGTTAACGAGCACAACTCCACTTAACACAGAAAATGTCATGAACAATAAGGACATATTCTCAATACTGGCTCAGCGTGGGTGTTCACACTGTGCATGATATATTCGGTACAATACTAAATCAAAAAGTACAGCTATGCTATTACAGTGGGATGCCAGCTATGTTGGAAGGTAAAAAATACTAAAATCAACAAGTTATTGCTGAAAATATGTTGAACAATTACCATATTACCAAAGAGAAGCGGCAATTTCCCCTGTACATTTCTAATAATTTGATGTCACTCTCCTTAAATTCTACATTACTATTTTATGAATATGAAATCTTCCAAGCAAAAGCATGTATATAAATGAAAAGATTTCCTTCATTCTAGGCAATTAGATTGAGAATTTTAAAAGCATGCAGCAGTTTCAGCCAAGAGATGTTAAACGCCACAATATGGCCAGTAGCCATGACAAAAATAAGTTACCGTATCGTATCTACCAAGTAAATAGTGACTGAAGAACATAAAATTTTATGAACACCTTAATGAATACCATCCCCACCCCAATAAAATGCTAACGATGGAGTACTGGTATTTAGATTTTATGACTGTGATTAATTATGCCAATTGTGAATGTCACAGATTAAATTTCAATGTACCTGGTTAGAAATATAAGGATACACAAATATTCCACAATCACGAAAAAACAAATATATTCTCAAAGTACTCTCTAAAAAGGTGCCTTGACTTTAAGGACCATCAATTAAAAAAACAGATTTGACAATCAGACCTTTCTCATGGCTCTGAAACTCCACGCTCTGCCAACATAAAAATGTCTCAGGATGACATAACCGAAATCCATCCCAGCTAGAGAGTGCATCTTAAGTTTCTAGTGGGTAGAAATGAGAAACGTCTATAAAAATGCTGCTGTTACCTTAAAACACAACACAACAGAACTGGTCCTTTTTATCTGAGCTGAGGCCTATCCAAGATCAAATGACGACCTTCAGAATGGTCCCAGAAGGCCAATAAGCAACCAGGGCAAACATCCTAGGCTTCCTATAGCCTGTAAAGTGTAGTGGAATAACTAGGCACAGATGTCCCCAGCACAAAGCTTCCAGCTCTCCGAGTTCATGCAACACGATGTGTAAGCAGATGAAATCCAGAGAGCCTCTGAGCATCCTTCAGCCAGAAGAAAGGCTAAATAAACCAAGATACATCAATACAGTAGAGTATTACACAGCCATGAAAAAGACTGGGGACATAGAATGATGCCCATAGTTAATTGGTAAAATAAGCAAGTTGCAGAACAAGATAATCTCATTTTTGTGGAAAAACCACCACCACAGCAGTGGGAACACCAATACAGGTAGCTATATATATTGAGCTGACAAGTGCACATAAACAGTCTCAAAGGATTCATTCCAAACTATCAAAACTTTTTAAAAGTACTTTTACATTATTGCAAGTATTCTCAATAAGTCTAAAATAAAAATAAAGGGAAAGCCCTTGAATTAATGCTGAAGGTAACAAATACATGTTACGTTGCAGTCATAATCTCCTCAAAACACATAACAATGTTTTCTGTGGTATCTGAGGACTAGCTTCAGATACAAAGGAACCCTGAGGTCCCAAACTCCAGCAGCAAATAGGGACAGTAATGACACAGGGAGTCAGCCTTCCCATGCCAGTCTCTGTATGCTCTGCTGTCCGTCAGGGTCACATCCAAATCATCTCTTGACCCTCAAGCTGTTGGATCCTAGATAAAATAGGAGATAAGCTACTGGTGTCAGAGAAGGTGAAGTTCTTCAACACCGCTGTATGTGTGTTATCTCAACAGGTGTTCTTGGGTCAGGAGTTACGCTGACTGTTATGGAAATAATTCCAGAAATTTCTAAAACACCAAGAGCTAGAGGGTAGACACAATGAAAAGTAATAATGCTGTGAGTTTACGGAAATTGTCAGTATACAAAGCAGTAAGAGAGAAACAGTGTGGCAGGAAGATAGGAGTCAGAAATAAGGATCATAATTATAAACAAACTGATTGTCACAGGACTTGCTATGTGTCGGGCTCTGAGCTGAGCATTTTACATTGATTATTTCATTTAATTTGGAAAGTCTCTGTTTCTTTTTTCTTCTTGATTAAAATCCTCTATTTGAAAAGCATTAAAATGTATAAAATCAAGTTACACCAAAATTCTGAAAAATGCCCAAATTTGGAAGTAACACTGATATTTTCAAAGTCACAACCTCAAAGAATTAGCATACATTATTAAAGATTTAGTCTATAAATATAGTTCAATGATTTTGTAAGCTATAATACAAATTCAACATGGTATGTGCTTTTTATCATTCACAATTTTAATTCACCAAAATTTCTGAAGATTGCTTCTTTTCTATGCTATCTTGGAAATTATTAATACCTAATATTATGATAATGAGATTCTTAGGAATCTGCAAAATTGAAGAGAGTGTTACTCTTTCTATTCTTTGTGATTCAATTAGATATTCTGATTAAACTACATTTTTTTGTCAACTTTAACAGGCATTTAATTTTCATACATTTAGACACAATGATATACAACTGCCAGGAAATTTTCCTAGCCAAATTCAGCATTTTGACATACTTAGTAAAAATTAATATGGTGCTTTTCGATGGAAATAGCTGTTAACCATTTTAAAATAAATAACTATAGATATAAATACTAATAATACTTTAAAATTCGTTTTCTTTAGAAGAAAATAATTTTTAAAGCTTTCAAGTTTTCTTCTGAGATAAATGTATTTCTCCACTTGAAAACAATTTTTAAGGGTTTATACAACTTTTCAATATGAAAGCTGAAGCTATCAAAGCCAGGAAAGATCACGTAAGGCTGGATTTTCCAGAATCTGCTTCTTCCACTTCTTGCCACTAAGCCCGGCTCCAGGATTCCGGCCTTCGGCAGATGGAGCACCAGCGAACTAGAGGGACAAATGGCACCAGGGAAAGCTGAGCCAATTAAAGACAAGGACTGTGAATAACTGTTCTCTGTGTCATCTTACCACAAAACAAAAAGGTTTTGTTCCCTACAAGGGATTGAGAAGATTTGTCAAGAAAACTTAAACAATTCTGAAAGGCTAGGAGGAAAACAGCCTGTGGCTGTTAAGTCCGTCAGCACTGGTCTGTCCAGGATTTCTCCACGGATTCTCACTCTTTCAGTTAATCATCCCCTCCCCAGGGAATCAGCAGCATCCTAGCATAAGAGGAGTTGTCAAAATCAACAGCAAACACAGGATGACATTGCCAACAACAGACAGACCACGATACCCCAGTGCCAATGGAACCTTGAAGATATCTTGTCCCCTGGTTTGGCTACTCCATGACTTTTCCCCATTGCCCAGACATCATTACTAATGGCCATAACTTCGAGTTAGCCATGCAGGATGCCCCGTACAATGCTCTGACTACGGTCCACTCAAGAAAAGTTAGGTAAAAATCTATTAAAATAATTTTAAGCACGTCCTTGGTTACTTAAGCTATTGCTTTCTGAGCAGAGTCCATTTTTAACATAGTGTGAAAGTATACTTCAGCACATCCCAGAACAATTTAAATATGAAATAGACTCCAAATTGAGGATATTTTAATGTAGCTTTAACAATAAGATATCTGTGGTAATAGCCAAGTTGCTAAGTTATACTCCATTAAAATGAGTGCACAGATTTTGGCTGCCCAAACATTGGACATATGTTTTAGTGAATGTAGCCTTTAAAGATTTTAACACAATCCAACCAGGAAAAGGGTTAAGCTGTCATTCCAGGAGAAAATGATGCAGACAGGCAGACCATTCAGCTTGCACACGCCTAAAAGTGCAACACCGACAGTCAAAAAGCAAGAACACTTTTTTATTTCTTACTCAGAATCTATAGCAAGATTTCCTCCCTCCAGAGCAATTCAACTTGATCAACACCAAGTTCAGCAGCCTATTCCGACTGCTGATAAGACAAGGAGGACTGGTAGTTGATACCCCTTTTAACATTTTCTATCTGAATATAAAGCTAATGAGAAGTAAAAGAAACATCAAATCCTTGATGTTTAAATCAAATCTGATTATAAATACACATAAGCAGAAGCAATAGTAAAATCACACACCTGTGTTTCATTCATCAACAACATATTAATCAATAATTGTTTATATAATCTAGAATCATTAAGGACATGTTTTTGATTAGCTTCAAATATCATTGCAAATTAATTCAGTTTTTGAAATGTTTTCTTGCTTAGTAGCCAAACGCATTTGAAACGTTAGCCAGGAAAACCTCACAACTGACCACAGGCTAACAAATGTATTAATATATGCCTAGTAACTATTATTAATCAGCATGACCTTGATACACAATCAGACCGTGGGCTAATATTGCCCTGGAGAAATACCGATGCGAAAAGAGAAACAACAGTCGTGAACTCCAGATAAA